AAAAAAAAAAAAAAAAAAAAAAAAAAAAGAATTTAGGGATCAAAATATTAATTCCTCTGTGTTTTCTTAGAACAAAGGATAAAGATATAACCTAGGCAGGATCATGTCAAGTTATCCCTGGGGCTGGAAAATCAATATAGGCAGAAAATTTCTCATTTTGTTGGGCTTATTCATTGGAAGAGAACGATACTACAGTGGTTGCAAAGTTAACCTATATAAGTTACAGATGTACAGTATATACCCAAGCTCCAATAATGCAATAAAGAGCTGTACTTAGTAAGCCAACAAAGAGATAAAATGGATGTTTTAAAATATCCCATTAATCCAAAAGAAGGCAAGAAAAACTATGGCAAGGAGAAAGGAACAAATCAAAGAGAAAAATGTGGTAGGAGTAGAGGACAATTTGTAAGACTATAAATTTAAACCAAACTATTGCAATAATGACACTAAATATAAATGAGCTAAACATTTTCATTTTAAAGCTCCTGAAGCTTGGACATAGAGTGCAATTAATGGAAGCTGAGTTCAAGTCTTGACTCTGCACTTAACCATTCTGCAGTCTTAGGTAACCTATGCAATTTCTCAGTTCCTAGTTCTGCTCTCAGTTTCCTCATCTGGAGAACAGAATTGATATCTAAAACACAAAGTTGACTTTAAAAAAGTTAACATACGTATGAAGTAAATATAATGTAGCAATTATTCCTATTGTATTTGTCATTCTCACAAGTGTTAGGGTTCAGAAAATGATTTCCCAAAGTATGGTGCTTTTGCATGCTAAATCTTTGAGTAATGGCCAGAAGGGCCTCAGAGAAAATCTCTTTCTGACCACCTCCCTGCCATTCTTCGCCTATTATATTTTCTCATTCAAAGTGACCCAAAGAAACTAGAATTCCTCTTCCTCAAACTAGTTCTTAGAAACTAGAACTCCTCTTCCTCAAAGCCAGCCATAAAACCTAGAATTGTTACTCTAGCTTCTCCCCTGCCTTTCTGTTTTGGAACTGGCCATAAAGAAATTCTCTGACCTATTTTACCTGATAGCAAGCCATTAAGGTCCACTTTCCAAAAAGTGTCCTGCTGCATCCCCAGGCGGAAGGAATACTATACAGAGACCAAGAAGGTCTGAACAAACATGTGCTTGGGATCTCTTCCTTCAATTTATTAAGATACACTATACCCAATCATATTTCTATACACTGTCCATTCTTCATCAAACATAAGCATAAAAATAGTTTTCTGAGGGGCCGGGGATTGAGCTCAGTAGTTCCAGTGCCGCTTTGTAAGCACAAGGGCCTGAGTTCAATCCCTGGTACCAAAAAAAACCACACCCCCCCCCAAAAAAAAAACTTTTCTGAGTCCTGTATCTTCATTTCTGAAACATCACATCAAACTTTGGTTAAATAAATTTGTTTCACTTTTCTTTTGTTATTTGTCTTTGTCAGTTTTTATCTCAGACTTAGCTAGCAACATTAGAAGGGTTGAAGTTTTTCCTCCCTAAAATAGTCTGTGTACTCTTCAAGGTAAAAGCCCACTTATCCACCTCTTCCAGTGGGCTGCCATGTAGGTTTGACCCAGTCAGAATTTTCCCTCCTTCCATCTTTCCTCCCTCCCTTCCTTCCTCCTCCTTTCCTTTTCTTTCCCTCCCTCCTTCTCTTCCTTCCTTCTGCCTGCCTCCCCCCACCTTTCTTCTTTGGTACTAGGAATTGAATTCAGGGCTCTGCATTGAGCTATATTCTCAGTACCATTTTATTTTATTTATATTTTATTTTGAGACAGTGTCTTACTAAGTCACGA